TGCAAGTCGATGTTCTCTATGAATTTTTATGGCAAAATCAGCAAAATGTAGTGGAGCTATAAACGCCAACTAAGCCTTTTTAGAAAAAAATTGGTAGACTGAAGTTCGCAATTACCTATAACTCTAACTAAATAATGGTCAATCGAACAGTATTTATACAAGGAAGCAATACAGGCTCGTCCTCCTATGCATTAAGTTCCAGGACGTCGTTTGTTAACCAAATTAGCAACAGATTAATAAAGTGTAATTAATACTAATTTAAATATGTATTATTACCTGAATTTGCTGTAGAATATAACATTCCATGGTTTACATGTGTGGAAAGCAAACCAAATTGAGAAAGGAAACCAGTACATACAGTTCACGTCCTCATTGGTAGGGTCAAAATTAACTTCCGAATCTCTCCTATTCGTTAGTCAATCTGTAGAAACGGACAAAAAAAGTAATTAAATACTTTTAATCAATATCAATTTATACCCTATTCTATTTTAATATCAAATAAAATATTGTACATAACTTTTACAGTTCTTTGGGGTATTGTTATGTTCTGTAAAGAAAAAAATAGTAAGATAGCAATATACAGTTTTTTTAATAAACAATAACATGGCTAAATTAATAATGAAAAGTTCAAATGTAACACTTTATTAATAAAATTAACTGTTATAAAACACTTTTAACCATATTTTTGTCTATTTAAAGTAAAAACATTATTATAATTTACAACAGGTTTTAAAATCTTACCTAAATTTGCAGTCCTATGATTAACTTCAAACCTCGTTAATGGCATGTTTGGTATTTGTAGACCATGAACCTTTCTAACATCAACCAAGAGGCATTACGTAAAGGATCATATTTTGTCCACTTGATTGCGTTAACTTCTGTGTAGTGCAGTGATGATGTTGACCATTCGCTGCCACAATTGAATAAGTACTACGACCTATCCCTTGTGGTGGAAAAAAGCACTTTTACAGCGCTTTGGCGTACTGCTATAAACTCGCGAGAAGAACCCCTACACTCAATGCCCTAAAACATCCAGAGATTAATCCTTAGAATAACTTGTTACATTAAAGATTTCAATTATAAGGTGTATTTTAGAATAATCATGCAAAGAAGTATTGTTAGTTATTGTAGTTCTTTAACTTCCGTTATATTTAATATTAATACTATGTATTTTCTAATGGGTCAATAGTTGTAAACAAAATTAAACATAGTAATAACAAATAGGTGCATCTATTAATTTCATAAATTCAGTATTATTAAGAAAAAAACCTTTATAGAACTTCTGAATTTTGTTTTACCTTTTTGTGTATTCGAATAATAAAGAAACGTTTAATGGTGTGGGTATACAACTCCACATACATCGCTATACGCCTGGTTGTTACCGTATTAACGAACTTGGGAAACTTCTATACTAAAAAATTGTTTTCTTGCCTGGAAATAACTAGCGATTATTTTTAATACTTGAAAGTGTAAAAAATTTAGTCAGCTTGGGCTACAAAAGTAGCATACTACTACAAAATATTAAGGAACTTAACATTAAAATAGAAACATTGCATGTCTCACAATTAAAAATTATGAATTATTTGTGTATTTTCTTTTTTTCATAGAAGTTAAAAAACTTTAAAATGCCAACTAAAAGTTTGTAATTCGGTTATAAGAAATAAAATGCTACTTACAACTGAAATTACTGATACTTCGTGTTTTTTTGTCCCTTTAGCACTACAAATTTGTTCAGCATCAAAAAGCAGCAGTATTTTTTAGTGTAAAATTGCCCTTAATACTATCTGGAGGCGATAAGACATGGACAAAGGTAGGGTAATTGTTTTTTGTTATTCTGTACATGTATTTAATCATAAGTTAAAAAACAAAAGAAACAGAAACTTCACAATTCGAAGGAATAGAAGCAAAGATTAATATTATATCTTATTGTTAGATATTATTTATACTTTGCAAAACGTTTTCTTTCTTTTGTAACCCCACTGTACTAGTTCTTCAAATACTGTAGTAGGAGTGTGTTTTCAAATGGAAGCCTGAAGACCGTTGTGGAAAACATTCACAGCCGAAAAAAAAAGAAAATTATTGATTTATGTAGCAATAATATCCAGAAGTGACTCGTAAAGCTGCAAAATGCAGTTTAAGGTCCCATCGCGCATTTTACGAAAACCTTTTTCTGAAAAAAAAAAACAAACAGTATTTTACTATTCAATTAATACTCAAATACAAGTACTATTCCGTTCAACAACACTGCAACAGAAAGAATTATTACTTAGGAATTTAGTAGAAGGTACTTTTTTTATTATTTATTTTAATAGTTTAGGTTTAGGGTTTGGCGATGTTTACTTGGTCCATGTGATTATTTATTAAATAAGCAATTACTATATTTACCAGCTGGTAAAATTTTATCATCAAAAGAAACCGCTTGGTGGCCCAAAGCGGCTGTTATTCGTTTAAATATTTTTTTCTGAATATCGTCATTCAGTGGGTAAACTTTTTTGATAAACCGTAGTAAATACTCGATAATAAATCCATGCTCCTGCAATTATTGTCGGACTTTTAAATGTCCAAGTTTAATTACGCATAATATTTACCATTGCTAGTAGTTTCAAACATTTTTCAGGTTGACAGTAATTGATCACTATTTTTTCTAGTTCATCTTGATTGAGTATCGGACTTTTTAAATCTTCTAACCAGTCGAATAATAAACATGCAAGAACTTTAGGGTCAATTTCGTGAACTATTCTGCAATAACCGTGCTGGTAAGAGTTGACATATTTTTTCACTTTAACTACGTAGCTTTTAAATTCTTCGGAAGTCTTTGAAAAATCCATTAGCAAGCTTTCAACAATTTCATCGGTTGTTAAAAAGCTTTCGACAACTTCGTTCTCGAGGATCTGCTTATGCGTTTCTTCAAAAATTTTGTCTATTGGTAATAACTCGGCAGAATTTTCATCAAGACTAGTAAAATCTTAAAAATAAATCAGCATTATCATAAACAATTGATATCTACACTTATTTATAAATACTACTAAAAACTACATACCATTAAATGAAACACTGTGTTTAGGTGTATCATTTTCCTTTTCGGTCTCACTACATGACGCACCAGCAGGGAGATCGTTGTTAATATCGAACATTTCATTCGAACTCACGGAACTGGAAAGTTCAGCTTAAATAATACTTTTATTAATTCATTACATGAATTTAAATTTATACTCACAATCTGTAAGGGCACTTTTAACGCTAAAAATACTCTCATGCCTTTTAATGTTCTCATTATTTCTTTCACACAAGAAGTTTATTGTTAAATGATTTTCTAACGAGTCGAATTCTAATGTTTTTCTGTTACAAAGTTGTAAAATCCTCTCGCAAATTATATGAATTATCTAAAAATCATTTTTTTTAATTAGTGTTAAGGTAAAACTAGCTATTCACTAATTGTATTTATACCATTGGGAAATATTTAAATTTTCGTTCTTGATAACCATGCAAAACAATTTTTTGTCTGTATAAGTACCTTTGAACTGTAAAAGGATTCATATACTTTTCCTTAATAATGCTTTCTCTAAAAATATTTTATCATAATCACAGAAAGTCGATAAAAATTTACAAATTTTTAAATCAGAAGTAGGTACGTTGTATTAAGAGTGCATAGTCCAATTATACTTCTATTTTAAGTCAAAATTTACAAAATTAATTCTTCGATGGCCCACCCTGCGTAACTACTTCTGGTATTTATAGCGAAATTTGCGTGGGCGTCGAATTCATTAATTAACTTACCTGACGTGAAATGTTACCGTGAGTGGCAGAATAAACTGTGCGAAATGGCGTACAGAAATAATTTGACCTCTGGTCTGTACCGATCCTGGCCTTTTAAGCCGAACATATTTAATGGCCTCGTTAGCATTTACTCTTAAGGAATAAACCAAGTAGCTGGCTATTAACACCCCCGTTCGACCTAAACCTATAAATAAATAGGGTAATACAACATAAATCTGGATATTAATATTTTAGAACATTAATTAACGAATTTGTCTTATTGATTTCTCATAAAAAATGTAGTATTTAATGATGCAGTGGGTTTAACGAAAACTTTTCGGTAGAATAAGTTACAGATATAAAAAGATAAGTGTTAAAAAACGCTCCTAATTTTTTGACCACTAAAAAAATTAATTTTCAATATCTGGTAGATGTACTCATTGTAGAATATGTCACATAATTTAAGGGTGCAGGCAGTTTATCAGTAGTTCATCTTCAAAAATTTAAAAACTATTAAAAAGATGCCACACGAAATAGCGCTCGTGATTTTTTGGCCATTAAAAAATAAAATTTTCAATTTTTGAAGGATGTATTTTATGTAAAAAATGGCACAGAATTTAATGATGTAAGTCGTTTAACGAAGAAGGCTCTCTTACCAGCGTGACAATGAATTGCAACACGCCCTTCAGTGATTGCAAAGGCTAAAACTTTAACCATGTTAATCAATGCAGATAATCCAATGTCACCGTAATCTTCCCAGGCGAAGTTGTAATAATATACTATAAAATAACAAGACCAGATTTACTACAATCATACTGGAATATAGTATCTGTCTTGTCAGATATTAATTTTGGATTAATTAATTACTTATTAGTTAGAAGAATATTTTCGATCACGTAATTCTGCATAGAGATCTATTCTTTTATAGAGAAAAGATCAAACCTATTTGTAAACCTAATTTAAACTAAATTGCTTATGTAAATAAAAGAGAGCAAATTGGATTGGTTTAACTTGAGATTATGGAATAAAATTACAAAAATAGCCACAACGCATTATTGACACGCCTACATAATAAATAAAATCAATTACCATTTGCCTTTAATACAATTTCGACAAGAAAAGAAAAGAAATAAAATATGTAATAATCAATAACTTAATGTTGACACAATTTTTGCTTGAGAAACAGTTATTATATTGTCACAATTCATTAAGTCAATGAAATGCTGTGAATTTTCAGTATTTTTTTTCCTTTAATTAATTAATGGTAAATACGTTAATTGTATTTTTATCGTACTATAAGATGTACTAATAAAAGAGTATAAGAAGTGAAAAAATTCACTGTATAACAAAAAAATTCAGTTTTCTAAAATTACGAGAAAAAAATGAAAGTAAACGTATTTGACATTAAATTTGAACTGTTATAAGGGTAATAGCGTGCACATGAATTTTTAATGCTTGTGTGTAGTTAAGTAGTTTATCTACATGCCAAAATAAATAATTTACGGCATTTCTGAAAGTCAAATTACAGAATACTAAAAACATGTAGATATATGTCCTCTAGTTTGTACATATAATATTTAAACGTAAAAAATATTTAAAGTAACTGCTTTTTTGTCTACTTTGACATTATTTTAAATTATTCGATATTACCAAATCTAATTTGGATTTTTTCAAAGAATTTCTAACTTTGAGCTAATTCCTAATATTAATTAACCGATGCATATAACAACTTAAATAAGAACTTTTTGAAAACCACTTAAAAGTAGGACTCAGTATATGTTTAGGATCAAAAGTTATTGACACTTACTATCATTTTTCATAAAAACGCTAGGATCATACGTAAATCCCGAATCTTCCAAAGGTTTTCCGCAGCTTGAATGCTCTCCAGGACATTGCAAATTTATTATAGATTTAATACCTAAACTAAAATTTTGTTTTAATGTATATATGTATATACATAGCCTATTATACTTTTTACCGATGAAACTGTTGAATAACGTTCTTTTGTATTACTAAGGAAGTACTAGGACGTGCCATCGCTAAAATATCCTCGGTTATCCTGAAAATAATTTGACTCGAAGAAATCTTTACGGTAGATCAAAATTAATTAATACGTTTTTAAAATTATGGGAGAGAAGATTCAATTAAACTCGTAATGAACAATAACACTAGAATAAAATTATTTATACATTTCTTTTGAAAATAGTTGTCGCTCTTTTGCGAAAAAATGGTATTAAAATGAATAAGAATGGGATATATTTTATATAAGATCTTACCAATTACTGAATATGCCATCGATGATTAAATTATCTGAATCCCAATGTTCGGGATTCTCATATTTGCAGTGTGAACCTCCGCAAAATATGCTACATTGCAACCTTTGAGGTGTAATTTTTCTCAAATTTTCTGACAATTTTGTATAATTCGGCGTTATAATTTCAGCGTCTTTCGACGCAGCTTTTGATTTCAAATCGTTCTCCATTTAAGGGAGAAATTTGTGCTATTAGTTTTAGTGGCTATTTTTCTCCTAACAATTTTTTACACACTGCCTAGTCTTCGTGCTTATAAGAACTCGCGGTTAATATAAGCGCATGTCTTTCAAACGGGAAAGCTTTTTGAAATAATAGCCTGTGTAATAAGTACAGGGGTGGATTCAGAGTTTAAATCTATACCTATTACACTTGTTCAATGAAAATTAAACTTATTGCCAGAACAATTTTAAGAAGTTCAGCCATAACATTGTTTATTTACTTGACCATAGCAATAAAATGTAATTTTGATGTAATTTTCATAAATTGTATCGCTTTTAACTTAACTATTGTCTCCGGTTTCATCAGAAGTGCACATAAAACATAAAAGCATGCTACAAATTTTTTTGATTAAAAAAATATTTAACTGAAAAACTTTAACCGCTGAATACGTCACTGATTGAACTTAGTTTACATAGGTACATTGAATCGGATGGATTTTCTAATTTACTTCTGTATGTACTATACAAACAATGATTGCACTTAAGTTGTTCATACAAACATACTATATATACAAAGTATTCTATTTATTAATGGATAAAAAATTAATTGAAATAAAATTAGTTTGTCTTCCTTTTAATCGGCAATAAGAGCTTGTAAAACTCGATGAAATTGCTGATGCAATTTTCCTTCAGATTAATATTTTTTATTTAAGCCATTTTTCCCTTAATTAATACATCGTGTATTGGATCGCAAAAGCATTTGTAAATTTATTATAATATTAACATGAATGCTAAATATTAACATACGAATTACTTCACGTCAAGATCTAATCAGCAACTGTTTAATTTGGGGAAATTCCTCAACTCTCCCCTTTTAAAGAACGTATAAAAATTGGGGGAAATATAGCTTAGAAATTAAAATAAGATTTGGAAGAAGTCAGGGGTGGAATAAAAAAAAAACTGTAAATAACATCACAAATGCAAACTGGAAATGCTTTATTGGATTGCACAATTATGTTGTAACTGGCGGTATTCGCATTGCCATTAATAACTTATCCATTAGTAGTGTAATTTATTTGTACACGTAAATCAATGATTAATTTACTTAAGTCTTTTTCTTGCCATCAGTATGATATATGATAATATCTATCTCTTTTAGAATGTATGTCAAGTATTGAAGCTTTACTTTACCTTTATTCAATTAATTAATGGATAATTAAATTAAAATCCTCAGAAAAATAATAGGCACTGATGTTTAATAAATTAATAATAATAACTCGACGGTATTTAAGAAAGAATAAAAATGTGGTACGAATCTTTTATGTTTAAATATGAAGACAATAAAAGGTGGAGTACTCTGTATAGCATGATATATTAGCACACGTATGGGGACAATTTGACAATGTTGTGGTTGACTTTCATGTGACTGTCACCAACAGACACCAAGATAAATGATAAAAGGTAGAAAATCATTAACGCAGTGCGACAAATTTCCCTTTCGGATACGGAAATTACCCGTTATCATACAAGCTGACCTTAACATTTTCGTCGGACCACCTGTATGAATACATTTGCATTTTAACAGGAAGCCAACCTTGTAACCCCTTGTTGTTAGGTCAGATAGGGGTAGTTGCGTTTATTTCATACAGGATCGGACTACGCCAGAAAACTTCAATTTCAAAAGTATCATTCAAAATATCATTTTAGTACAAAATCTAGTATACAAATTATCTAAGAAATGCAAAACTATAACAATTTATACAATTTTAAAAAACATGAAGCATAAGCCCAGTTTGTGGTTTCATTTTCCAAATCGGTATTAATTATTTTAGTTTGCGATTTACTTGCATATTAAGTATATAGTTAATCATTTCGTTTTACTCTTCTTTTTGAAATTTTGCAAGTTAGTATTAAACTTTTCACTGTAATTTAAACTGAGTGTTGCAAAACTTCCGAAATAGAGAAATCAAGCAAATTTTTAATTTATAAGTAATATTTTGAATTAGCGTATTAAGTAACTGCAAATGATGGAAAAATGTTATACAACCCAAAATACTCCCTAGTGTACCCCTGTTGCCTATATACAACCCAACATACATCCTATATGTATATTCGTGTCATAATTAATGATAATTTAATCACAAATTACACGCACTACATGAATTATTTTATATTACCCATTAGGCTATTACGTCACCAATAATTATTTTCAATTGTTGGTGATTAAAAATTATTATTAATTCAACGCTCTTCATATTATGCTAAATAATCCTTAATGAAATGTATACATTGTTATAATTAAATATAGACAGTGATCCTACCATATTCATATTACTTAAACTAAAAAAAAGATACTTTAATATAACTTACATGCATGGTTTCCGATTCATGATTGCCATATTACTTATGCTTTTTGTGATAGAAGAGGTTTACTTTTCATGGTGACTCGTCAGTTGAATGGTCTAGAATTCAATAAATAAAAATTATTTACACCAAACAAACTTATTTCTTAAATCTGAAATGAACATTAGCTTGAAAATTTTACTTCTCACTTCTAAAACACTGGAGAAATGTAATAATTTGGTACTTTATTTGTACACCCAATAATTTTTCATTCTGCAAAACTATGTTAAACCTTTTCTAACGACAACATTATTTTTAAAAACTGCATATAAATATGCATAATTATTNCTATATTAAAGTTTAGAGAGCATAATTCAATTAAAAGGCACTCTAAATTAACAAGAACATGAAGATATAAAATAAAATTTACCTTAAATCTGAAGAACAGCTCAATTCTATTTAAGTAGTCCCCAGTTTGGAGCCTAATCCCGAATTAACCTATAAAAAATTAAATGGATATTTAACAATTTTTCCTCTTATTTATAAGAATGGAATATATAACTACAAATAGCCCAAATAACTGATAATTACCTTAATAAATGCGAACAGCTAATAATATTTTTATACAATACACCTATAACAACTATCTAATTACAACTACTATCTATGACTACTACCATAGATAATATATACTACTAACTCCATAGATAACTTTTGCTATTAATTTACTAATTCTTTCTTATGGTTACTTCATAGATAGTTATAGATTAGGTATTTGCATTGAACTAGACTACAGATGTTCCCCTCCACTTCAATGGGTATTTGTACACAATAGAATTGGCTATAGGTAGACAACCTGCAGAAGCCCATAGTTAAAATGTCAAAAATCTTCTCTATGATCAAAAATGAGGTTAACTTAATTTGTTTTTGTTTTGTTGTTAAAAGTAGTTAATAAACGAATTAAATAGTAACAATTATTTGTGATCCGCGTAAAAGCTGATGATATTTTTTTGGAATTGTTTACAGGACAACTAATTTGTGTTATCGATTTAATAAATTGAATGGGAGTTGAAAGGTCTACTACTTTTTAACCAGTAGTAAACATTAGACATAGCCAATATTAATACACATAAAGTTTAAATGGAACTCGGTATTAAGAGAAGTATACAGTGTACGGGTCAATTAACAGTAGCAGTATTTGTTATTTTAGATAATTCAGTATGGAGCTAGGTAGAGAGTTTTTGGATGAACTGAATGTAGAGCACGTTATGAAACAAATTCATCACATACTATTTAGTTTCAATATTGAAGAGAACCTGCACTTTTTAAAAAATTACAATAACAATTACTATGAACAGAATTCAGAAGATAACCAAAACGTCATTTCTGTATGGTCTGATATTGATTGTGAAAAGGCATTGTCATCTTTAGATAAACAACAACCTTTAGATCTTTTTAATTACGAGGTACGTGACAACTTACCAATAATTGGCATGCAAAGTTATGCAAGTTTTCTTTGTTTAGAATCCAAGTTGTTACATTTGCAATGGCTATTATGGTCCAAGCTTTGATGAGCCAACATGTGCAACATGTCATGCATTTTTGTACCCTAATGTAGCACCTGACCATCCACTCACTATTGTAAATGGGGTTGGCAAACTTATTACATCTAAAAAAGAGTACTATTAATTATGTAATTATTTTACAGTACAGTGATGATGACAGTGATTCTGGAAATGATGAGCCTGCTGACAATTTATTTCGTCCTAATGCATTTAATTCTGCCAACGAAGAACCTAAATTTCCAATGGCAAAAGTAGAGGCTGAAGATTTAGCTCAAAATTTGAAAAAGTTATCCTCTGTGGATCATAGAATTGATGTCAACTTGGAGGACTTGCCTCCTGAAGGTAAATTATATTCTAATTTTAATTGACTGTTACACTAGACTATTATAAATTATATTTAAAATTGTATTATATATTCATATACAGATGAATAAGACCTATTCTGCAATTTCAAAAACAACATTGTAATTTATGGCTTTTTTTAGTTCTATCTCAAACACTGAAATATTTAGACGATATATCATTATGGTGCTTTAGTCAAGTTAATTCACGTTTTGAAGATATAGTTTTAATGCAGTTTCGCCCTAACATATGGAGCAGATTTGTGCGTATTAGGTGGCCCCTTCTTTATGTTGAGAAGGACGAAAGGGACTGGTATAATGTACGTTTTTATTATTCTCCTTTTTTACATAAATACCTTTGCTTCTTATTTTCTTGCAGTTGTATTCGTCATTAATGAAAAGCACATGCTGTTTAAAATGTGTAAAACAAATGGCAGCCCAGCAAAGTCCAGCTGGTGAAGAAAATTCATGGAGAAATAACAGGCTTAAGTCAGAACAAAGAAATTTGCGACTGGATCCTTTGGATGGTATAAACGCAATGCCTTTGGATTTTATGTCTTGTCACTGGTTGGCATCAATACAAGGGCCTGCAGGAAGTCCTTATGAAGGAGGATTGTTTTTCCTTTACATTCAAATTCCTCATTCTTATCCAATGACACCCCCCATGGTTCGTTTTCTTACAAAGATCTTACATCCAAATATATCAAGGCATGGGGATATTGGAATAGATTCCATACATCATAATTGGTCATTAGCTTTAACACTTAGTAAAATTTTACTTTCTATTCAGTCTCTTTTGACTGACCCATTCTGTGATGTAAGTATATTATACTTAGTGTCAAGAAAACACGTGAAAGATTTTTCATTTGATGTAGGTTTCTTTGGGATTGTTGCAGATTTGTATGGAGCCTGAAATAGCTGAAATGTACGAAAAGGACCGAGATGGCTTCGAGGAACAGGCTCGAATGTGGACGTGGAAATATGCTATGCATGATTTGCGTCCTTTTTAATTCAAAAACCTCTTAAGTTTTTCAAGGCCCCATAATTTATTACTTATTAGGAGAATCTATTTTAATTTATATATGCTTGTACTTATANACACCGGTCCAAAAAAAAAAACACAACGGTGCAAAAAAAAGATTTGCAAAAGGTATGAAGAGAATATCAAATAAAACCATTATTTTTACAAAAAAAAAACATCTAATATAGAAGAAGTTCTTGAAATACCACCATAAATAACGTTAAGTACGATAATAAAAATTGATTGCTTCAAATTTCAGATCTGCAATTAATATCACGTTTGAATATTTAGAAGACTTGCACCTTCGATTACAAAATAATAAAGAAAATTGTAAGAAAATATGTTAACGTAATAATATTTTTATTACCACTACTCAACGTAATATTAAATACAGTGTCAATTTAAATTTAATTCATTTTGAATTCAGTATAAAAATATATCGAATATTAAAAATTAGTTGTAGCAGAACAGCACATTAACAAAAAGAATGTTATTAAATAACTAACTTATCAACTAATTCAAAAGCAAAACAACTGAAAAAAAATATTCTTTTTACACATTAATCGTCAAAATGAGCTTCTTACATTTATTACGTTTGTGGATGATAATGGTCTCATGAGTATTTAGTTTGAGAATAATGTTATATTTTTAATAGGATGGATATAATGTTTACAGACCACTTTCTCACTTAATAAACACCTTTATATGCATTTACCATTTCTTGTGATTATTTTTGCGTTATTATTTCGAAGCTGTATCAATTTTAAAATTAATACTTCTAGTTTACACAAAATAAAGTAAAATATACATTTGACGATAACACAATAATTGTAAATGTTTGATATTTATCGATGACGACTTTTCACGATGTAAGGACTTAAATCTTTTTCTTGACTACAAATTTTGATTTTTAAAACTTTAAAAAACTAATTTATATTCTGTTACTGAATGACTGTCTCATTTGGCACAATATCCAAAATTGATTTTAATTATAAAATAATTTTCTTATGTATAAATAAGAATACTTTTCCGTTTAGTACGGATATCGTATTTGGTTCACCCTGTAAGTTTTTTTTTTTGAAAATCCTACGTTACTTCTACTAACATGATCATTTAAGATTTTTTTAAGTAATTTTTCTTCACCGTAATTAATGGTGTTTAATTATCACAGACACGTTTATAATAGTGTTAACCGTTGAAATACTGAATTTTGAAAAACAGAAGTGTTGCGTTTTTTAGATTTTTAGGAACCATGATTTATCATGCTAGGACCTCTTTTCTCTTTAATATTAAAAACAAAACAATTGGCTACAAAACTATCAGTAAGAAATTTTAACATAATTTATCAAAAGGAAATGATAACTAATATTGTAAACCAGAACCTTGAGTAAATTTTTTTGTTAATAAGATCTATTTTTACTTTTAATAAATTTAAGTAGGATGATCTTTGTTTTCGATACCAGAAGGTACATTTGAAGGAATTGTAAATACAGGCTTTTTTAACGTCAATGGTTTCGTTTTGATTTGTGGCTTAGGTCCCGATTTAGATTCCAATGGTGGAGTGTTGTTTACTGATGCGTCAGAAATTATAGAATTAGTTTCTAATTTAAAAGATTCTAAATAACTACCTTTCGTATTCTTTTTTAAGGTACACTGATTTTGTTTAGCGAACCTTTCAGCAGCAGTTTGCATATCTGGGCTGTCTAAAGCGTGGGGACTTTCAGCGGACTCCACAGATCGACATTCTTCAGAAGAGCACTCGTCCGATGTTGAGCTTGTTACAGTGGCTACTGACTCTTTTAGTAGCTCCTTTGGTTTTGTATTTGTCACCAATGGCAAGTCCATTACTAAGTCTGGTGTGTGATTTTGCCAGTGTAACCAGCTTTCAGCAGTTCTGTTATGTTTTGTTAAATGTGCTAAATTTGATTCTGGATAAGAATTTATTCGCCTTTGCCACTGTTCTATATTTTGCGTGAAATCGACAACATTTTCATCAATTTCTGATTCAACCTGTCGATCAACAAGTGATACAATTGCGTTTTCATCATTTAATGAATCATGAATTTTTTCATCATTTACCAAGGAAGAAACGTCGGAGCATTTATCCACAGAAATTTCTTGTAAAGGTGGTGAGATGACGGTTGATGAATCATTGGTATTTTTAGTTTTAAAAGACAGAGGGTTAGTATCACAGAAACTTTCCACCAATTTAATGACACTGTGCTCGTCCTTCATAGTCTAAAAAGAAAAATATACAGTGCAAAATTAACAACTCATAGGATTCTTTTACGGGTTATTTGTTTACAAATTGAAGTAATAGTGAATGTATCGCTTGATAAGAATTAAAAGAGTAAAATTATTTTAAATATCACAGCCAAAGAATACAGTACATTTCTTGTAATTTAAGGTAACTAGCTATTTAAAATTAGTACCTATTTGTAAATATTAGGTAGGACAAAATCATTTAAACCAATTGGTTTTACTATGAAAAAAAAATTATTAAATAGTAATTAAAAATAAGAAAGACCAACTTAGACACAGCTTACCAGTTTATGTAATAAATAGATTATGCGAGATAAGCACCCTATAGGAAATGACGATAGGATACAGACTTATTAAGCAATATAAATAAGATGTAACAGTTAAAGAAAGGCATATATACCATGCTGATTTGCTCACCTCAAAAATAGCATCCTGGGCAGAGTCTAACAAATGTACTATAAAACCAATAAAAAATGTAAAATAATAAAAGAATTACTATGATGAGTCTAATATACCATAAACACTAAATAAAAAAAAATATTAGAATTTCAAAATGTTTACCAAAAACTTCTAGGTGAAAAATATAGAACAATTCTTTATAACCATTTGAAAGATAAACTAATAACGGTCACAAAAAAAAAGAAAATTACAAGTAATTGACTTTTTTATAAAACATTAGGTTTCGTGAACGTCTGTTTTAATACAATTTCTAACAATAAAATTTAGAATTACGGAGTATTTGGTAAACATAACAATTCCTATTTTAAGACTAATATTTTAATTTATAATTAAATTTCTAAATTAATGTGAAATAAATGTTGTTTTTATGACACAGTGTTTATTAGTATGTATAAGGTAGTCAAATGCATAACCAATTTCAAAATAAATTGTATGTTCAAAAAATGATGAAATGGGGGCATTTGGTTACAACATTATATCAAAAATTATTTTAACAACAGCACTGTTGATTGACCAATACTACGAAAAATTTTCATTTTTCGCATTTATCTCCACACCTCATCATTTTATAACATACTATGTTAAAAAAACTGATTTTGGCTTAGTTTTTTTAAAATCTAAATATTGTTATGCGATTAGCTACAAACAAAACAGAAAAANCTATGTACACATTACAGTAATAGTTAAAACAGAAAAAAAATTAATCAGTGTTTTAAACCAAAGTCAAAGAAATTATTGTTTCTAATTTACGTTAAATTAAATGTCTTGTATGTGACCCGAAAAATTATGACGACTCGTCGAATATATGCGATATCAAAATATAACGGACTAATCGAAGGTATGAAGAGAATATCAAATAAAACCATTATTTTTACAAAAAAAAAACATCTAATATAGAAGAAGTTCTTGAAATACCACCATAAATAACGTTAAGTACGATAATAAAAATTGATTGCTTCAAATTTCAGATCTGCAATTAATATCACGTTTGAATATTTAGAAGACTTGCACCTTCGATTACAAAATAATAAAGAAAATTGTAAGAAAATATGTTAACGTAATAATATTTTTATTACCACTACTCAACGTAATATTAAATACAGTGTCAATTTAAATTTAATTCATTTTGAATTCAGTATAAAAATCTCTTGCTTATAATTCACGTAATACAAATAGTTTTAACCAACGTTGTCCAACTAATATCACTCTATGTTAGACAAAAAAAACTATGCGATAGGAAATAAACAATCAGTTGCCATTCTCAACTTGTTATCGACAACTGACAATTAATAAACTTTTCCTTATACGCGTTATAATAATAATTACGAAAAAAAAAAGATAATAATAATAATGAACAGATACTGAACCACAGCCACGTAATACACATAAATGGTTATATAAAAAGCAAGAAACTTTCAGAAATATATGTACCTTTTGTTGCAACAATTCTACTTAATCTTGCATTTTATTAAATCGTCCATCAAAATAGAGGAACGATCAATCTCAAAGTGAAATAACCAATTAACTAATATAGTTTAAATAATTTTTGATCTATCAACTACGATTTACAAATTTGTAAAAAGAAATAAAACAAGGCTAAGTAATGGCCTTTGCAACACGAAAAACATGCCTGAGTTAATACACGACTTACACAAACAAGCACATGCACAAAGCACGAAACAAAAATTATTACACAAATATAAAAATTCGAAGACAACACAACACATACAACAACGTACGTTTTCATTTAAATTATGTGAGATCGAAACGATATCAAAAAAACGGAGGAAAAGTAAAAAAAAAGTGCCAGAATACTAATACTGTTCACTGCACCATTTTGTTTGATGTTAAAAAAAAAGCGCGACATTGTCAAGCCTGCTTTCAGTGTGCAATAATCAGACAGTGGTTTCTAATACCTCTCGAGACTGGTTCATCAAAAGCTGCTGCGGCCGACTCTCTACTGATACTGTTGCTTCTGGTGTTAGTTCATTTATCCACGACACCTGAGTGTACTGAGCTGAAGGAGAATTAGCATTTGTTTGTAAGAGGTTCTCCGAAAAAACAGAAACATTAGAACTCGATGCCCTTCTTCTCATCGATTCTTCCGAAGAACTAGATTTTAAATTATCAACCTTTTCCTTATCTTCATCTCTGAAATAAATAGGTGAAAGAATTTCTTGCTTAGAATGATTACTAAAATGTTCAAATCGAAGAAGAAACTATTTAGTGTACCGCAAATTATTTCGTACATTCTAGTAGCCAATAGATGTTTTAAAGAATTTTTTAGAGTTTTTGCAGACGAGTATTTCAGGAGTATCGTGAGTTATCAAATAAGGTACATGTTTCTATATGTGCAGAAAACACAAAAACATCGAAAAAGTTCAACGTCGTACTGTCCACATGACTAAAAGTACAAGGACGTTTTGAGCAAAATCATGGACTGATAGTTATTTTTTTGTTACATTTTTTTACTCACTTCATTTTAAGGGATATGTATTTGTCTGGGATCAATCCTTCTTGACCATTTACTGTTCCTCGCCACCAGTCATTCGACACTTGCGTGAACAAAACTACTGAGTCTCCTTTTTTCAAAGATACCTCCCTGTCTGACCTTGCAGTAAAATCAAATTGTACTGTGGCCTCCATATTTTCAGAATCTATAATTAGGAAAAAAATATACCTATTGCAAAAAAATACGTATAAATTTTAATTTTATCTTACCATCTTCTGAGGGATACACTTCAGATTCCAAATCGTCTGGTCCATGATCTGATGGTGAATCACCAACATCACTACAATATAATAATAACAAAAGAGATAATATTTAGCTATATATGTATTCAACAAAATATTAGTAGTAATACTTACTGATCATCAAGTTCTGTTGAAATATATTTTTCGTAGAAGATTCCGCCATCATTAGGGAAAATTTCATCGTTATACATAATAATATTTTTGATTAATTCGTTGACTTGGTTCTGATACTGCACTTGATCTTTATCGTCAGGCACTGGTACTAACGTAGGACCAAAACATATAGCCAAATTATAGGGATCCATCATATTTTCGTCCGAAAATTCTGATAAACTGAAACAAGTGTCATAATCCTATAATTCTATGAAAGTATAAGAACACTTACTGATTTAAAAATGCGAATAAATATCGCATTACAATCATTACAGGTCTAGGCAAACTTTGCACCAATTCTCTCATTTTAAATATAAACTCGCGTTTTGATTCCAGTTCTGTGAAAAATTGAGTAATTAATCAATAGATTAAAACAAATAAAAATTGAAACTTACGGGCCAATTCCATAAATTGCTCAAAATATATAATAGGAAATAACGGCTCGCGTAATTCCCTAAGATATAATTTTAGTACACCTGCTACACTGTTTATATCAGACGCGTCTGTAACATCAGACAAGGGGTCTTCACCTCTTTCAAACCACTCTCGAAAATTGTTTATTTCAATTTGAGAACCGGAGACACGGAATATCCCTTGATGATGCAATCCTGAAAAATAATATTTAACACTAGTTATTATNTTTACCTGGAACTTTTTAAAAATATCTATTGTAATCAAAGTAATTTTGCAATTTTGGCCAATAAAGCCGATATAATTTAAATAAAAATTTTTTAGGTATAACGTTATGCTTTTGTAGGGACCTTTTAAATCTACACCCCGTACAACTATCAGCTGTATAAATTATACTGCCTAGATAACCGAAAATACAACTAACATGTACAGGTAGAAAATAACAGCTTGACAAACCTGGGAAAACATCCTTTATTTCAGGAGTGTATGGATGAATCCAACCATTCCTCTGTTGGATGATACACTGAAACATCTTTTACAGATGCTGCAGCACGAAGCGGCTACTTTTTATCAGTACATTATTTTTTCATTATATTTTAATTTGGTACATGATGAATCAATTTTGTCACAAACCACGCCATTGACTTTGGCATGTGAATACACAAGGAAAAGTAATACGTTTAAAATAAGCACGTGTTATTTCTAAAAATATTTATTATTTAAGGTGGAGACAAATCTGTTCGTTTTCACTGGCAACCGAACAGCTTATTACTCGGATCACGGTATCCAAGATGAGCAGGGTTGCCATGTTTACTACAACTTTATGCGCAAAGTACAATATTTCAACGATATTAATGATAATACAGCCTCAAATTTTAGAAAAATCTAACAGTAGAATATTTATACAAATTCGGTTTTTTTCATCTGAACATTACAATGCAGACTAGGTAATTGTCATTACTAAATTAAGGAAATAATTAGCTTAATCTTTTTTTGAGGTTTATAGCTTTTATGGCTAGATAAGTTAAAAATATTGTACCTAATCAGCTGAATTGTGAATTTTGTGGTTGATTAAAAGCAAAACTTTCATCCGTAATTACCTAATTACACTGAGGAGACTATTAATAAAACAACAACAAAATACTCAAATTGTTTAAGTGCTTTCAAGTTCAGGGGTCGAGAAATTACACACCCTGTGTAAATGTGGTCAAACTATTATCAATCATTTTTAAATTTTGTATCCATAGGACAATTTTTTAGTCACTATTAATACCCATTCTACGATTAAAGACGTATCTGTTAATAAATCTTCCTTTGTTCTTTTTTTGCATTTGTATTTACTTTCAATATTTATTTGTAACTCTTACTATGAATCTTTAATTTTTCATATATTAAACTTTTATTTGGCATTCTGATTTGAAAAAAAATTACAAGAAAATCAAGGCTGACATTGAAATTTGAATGAGTTATGCAAGTAAACTAATTGTAAAGGTGATAAAAATTAATTATGCTTATAACAACACACTGCTAAAACTTTTGAGAAAAAATTACTACTGTGTTTCCAAAAAAGACGGTAAAAACTACACAATATTCGTTTTATAATCCAAATACAGAAGTGAAGATAAACAATAGCACACACATTGTATCTTCTATAGGCAATTGAAACAAATAAAAAACTTAACCGACCTTGGAAACTGCAATGTGTTAAAAATATATGGAATTTAATGTTGTTTCGTGGTTTCGCTTATTAAATAATTAAAATTAATTACCACATTAATATCATTACAAAACGTTACAATAAAAACTTACTGTTAAACACCAAAAGTTTCCTGGTTGACCCCAAGCGTTTTATGGGAGATTTCTGTTCCTGTTCCTTTTCATCCATACTCTAGATTCATCGACTAACGTTAAACAAATATAAACCGCAATAACTATATGTAATAGCTACAATTACTGCACATCCACTTTGAGAATTTTAACAGGACACTCACTTTTGATTTGACTCTCACTTCTTGTTTATAATCGAGGGTACTTCACGGCTTGTACCTACAAAGCAACTGTTTCGCCGCACATATTTACTCACATAAACGTTAACCGAAACTATCCTTCAAGTTTTGCGTTTAGTTTTTCTTAAATGAAATAAATCTTGTAGCGTTTCATTAAGGATGATACAATGTGCAACGGATTTTTCTGTTTATACATACGTATTTATAAATGCACTATCACCCAAGAGACACGACAAGCAACCAACAAGAACTTTACCAACCGCGTCGAACACGTTCGCTGGTCTGCTGCTGCTTATGTTTATTAACTTGGTATTTTAAATTCCGTAAACGCGCCCTCGCTCTTGCATAGAGACAGTTAAATGTTAAAATTCAAACTTTCTAACGTTTGTTCGTTGATGTTCGGAATTATCTAAGTTGCAGATGTCGCAAACACAACAATCAATTACATCTAAAAAAACATTAACTGTTTTAACATTAGTTACTAATCATTTACCTGTATTTTTAGCAGAACATTGTTAAAGAAAATTACTAAAATAATGTTTTATATAGACGCTAGGTNCCACCATAAATAACGTTAAGTACGATAATAAAAATTGATTGCTTCAAATTTCAGATCTGCAATTAATATCACGTTTGAATATTTAGAAGACTTGCACCTTCGATTACAAAATAATAAAGAAAATTGTAAGAAAATATGTTAACGTAATAATATTTTTATTACCACTACTCAACGTAATATTAAATACAGTGTCAATTTAAATTTAATTCATTTTGAATTCAGTATAAAAATCTCTTGCTTATAATTCACGTAATACAAATAGTTTTAACCAACGTTGTCCAACTAATATCACTCTATGTTAGACAAAAAAAACTATGCGATAGGAAATAAACAATCAGTTGCCATTCTCAACTTGTTATCGACAACTGACAATTAATAAACTTTTCCTTATACGCGTTATAATAATAATTACGAAAAAAAAAAGATAATAATAATAATGAACAGATACTGAACCACAGCCACGTAATACACATAAATGGTTATATAAAAAGCAAGAAACTTTCAGAAATATATGTACCTTTTGTTGCAACAATTCTACTTAATCTTGCATTTTATTAAATCGTCCATCAAAATAGAGGAACGATCAATCTCAAAGTGAAATAACCAATTAACTAATATAGTTTAAATAATTTTTGATCTATCAACTACGATTTACAAATTTGTAAAAAGAAATAAAACAAGGCTAAGTAATGGCCTTTGCAACACGAAAAACATGCCTGAGTTAATACACGACTTACACAAACAAGCACATGCACAAAGCACGAAACAAAAATTATTACACAAATATAAAAATTCGAAGACAACACAACACATACAACAACGTACGTTTTCATTTAAATTATGTGAGATCGAAACGATATCAAAAAAACGGAGGAAAAGTAAAAAAAAAGTGCCAGAATACTAATACTGTTCACTGCACCATTTTGTTTGATGTTAAAAAAAAAGCGCGACATTGTCAAGCCTGCTTTCAGTGTGCAATAATCAGACAGTGGTTTCTAATACCTCTCGAGACTGGTTCATCAAAAGCTGCTGCGGCCGACTCTCTACTGATACTGTTGCTTCTGGTGTTAGTTCATTTATCCACGACACCTGAGTGTACTGAGCTGAAGGAGAATTAGCATTTGTTTGTAAGAGGTTCTCCGAAAAAACAGAAACATTAGAACTCGATGCCCTTCTTCTCATCGATTCTTCCGAAGAACTAGATTTTAAATTATCAACCTTTTCCTTATCTTCATCTCTGAAATAAATAGGTGAAAGAATTTCTTGCTTAGAATGATTACTAAAATGTTCAAATCGAAGAAGAAACTATTTAGTGTACCGCAAATTATTTCGTACATTCTAGTAGCCAATAGATGTTTTAAAGAATTTTTTAGAGTTTTTGCAGACGAGTATTTCAGGAGTATCGTGAGTTATCAAATAAGGTACATGTTTCTATATGTGCAGAAAACACAAAAACATCGAAAAAGTTCAACGTCGTACTGTCCACATGACTAAAAGTACAAGGACGTTTTGAGCAAAATCATGGACTGATAGTTATTTTTTTGTTACATTTTTTTACTCACTTCATTTTAAGGGATATGTATTTGTCTGGGATCAATCCTTCTTGACCATTTACTGTTCCTCGCCACCAGTCATTCGACACTTGCGTGAACAAAACTACTGAGTCTCCTTTTTTCAAAGATACCTCCCTGTCTGACCTTGCAGTAAAATCAAATTGTACTGTGGCCTCCATATTTTCAGAATCTATAATTAGGAAAAAAATATACCTATTGCAAAAAAATACGTATAAATTTTAATTTTATCTTACCATCTTCTGAGGGATACACTTCAGATTCCAAATCGTCTGGTCCATGATCTGATGGTGAATCACCAACATCACTACAATATAATAATAACAAAAGAGATAATATTTAGCTATATATGTATTCAACAAAATATTAGTAGTAATACTTACTGATCATCAAGTTCTGTTGAAATATATTTTTCGTAGAAGATTCCGCCATCATTAGGGAAAATTTCATCGTTATACATAATAATATTTTTGATTAATTCGTTGACTTGGTTCTGATACTGCACTTGATCTTTATCGTCAGGCACTGGTACTAACGTAGGACCAAAACATATAGCCAAATTATAGGGATCCATCATATTTTCGTCCGAAAATTCTGATAAACTGAAACAAGTGTCATAATCCTATAATTCTATGAAAGTATAAGAACACTTACTGATTTAAAAATGCGAATAAATATCGCATTACAATCATTACAGGTCTAGGCAAACTTTGCACCAATTCTCTCATTTTAAATATAAACTCGCGTTTTGATTCCAGTTCTGTGAAAAATTGAGTAATTAATCAATAGATTAAAACAAATAAAAATTGAAACTTACGGGCCAATTCCATAAATTGCTCAAAATATATAATAGGAAATAACGGCTCGCGTAATTCCCTAAGATATAATTTTAGTACACCTGCTACACTGTTTATATCAGACGCGTCTGTAACATCAGACAAGGGGTCTTCACCTCTTTCAAACCACTCTCGAAAATTGTTTATTTCAATTTGAGAACCGGAGACACGGAATATCCCTTGATGATGCAATCCTGAAAAATAATATTTAACACTAGTTATTATTATATTATTTGTTTTTTAAATCGGCTTACCATAAAGGTTAATGACTCTTATGCAAGATTTCATTATAAGGGGTATTTCCTGGTTTGTTGCTTCTAAATATTCCTCAAGGGAGCCACCAAATAACTTAGGTTGCCCACTTATCTGTAATCGTCCTATGCGCTTTCGTCGAGGGGTTTTAACGTGTTTTACAGGGGGACTTTTCGCTTCTGGGCTGTCTGCTAGTAAGGATTGTCTTATATATTCTTGTTTTGCATCCAATCTAGCAATTCGAGTTGAGCCCAATATATATTCTCGGAATTTCTAAAATATCAAGTTATTTATTTAATAACCAAGACCAATTACACAATTATAAATCTAAATAAACTTACGGTTAAGTAAAATTCTTCCGTTTCTTGTCTATCAGCTCGCTGTTTAATTGAAACTGTTTCCAATGGTTTGGTTGGAGGGATAGGATTTTCTTTAAAAAATCCGCTACAATCATAATCTTTTGCATTTAACATTTCTAATAGTGTCGATTCGGCTGTTTCTAATGTTTTCCAAACTTCTTCGGATTCAGTGCGTAACGTTGTAAGTCGCTGTTGAAGCTGATTAAGGCGCGATTCCATTTCTTGGTGCAACACTTTTTGTATTTCAGGTTCAGGGGATTGCTAAAAATTGAATAATTATTTATCGTATTGCACTTCAAATATTTTATTATGTGTATAAAAGTAAACGAATGCAATATATTGTAAATTTTTATTGCAGTATGTTTGAATAACGACATCTATGTACACATTACAGTAATAGTTAAAACAGAAAAAAAATTAATCAGTGTTTTAAACCAAAGTCAAAGAAATTATTGTTTCTAATTTACGTTAAATTAAATGTCTTGTATGTGACCCGAAAAATTATGACGACTCGTCGAATATACGCGATATCAAAATGTAACCGACTAATCGAGCAAGATTAAATTAAAAACAATTGCAAACCTTACATCATCAGTCTTTTGTCCTTGAAACTCTAATTTCTTAGGAATCATAAAAGCCGTATGGTTAAACTCAAGAAACCTTTGTTTATCAAGTCTGGAGTCGAGTGAATTAATGCAAGCTGAGAGGGCATCTAATCCACTTTGCACAGATTTCTGCCTACCTTCTTCCGCCGAAACGTGCATTAGTAAAGCTCTAGATACACAGTTGTGGAATCCGAAGTCCATGCACTGGAAGTTGTTAAAAATAATTTACCTTGAGGTTTAAAATACACTAAGAAAACAAATTTAACTAGTCTTCAAAATATTTAATGGTTACGCAAATAAACGAACTTACATCGATAAGATCGGACAAGTCATCCACAAAATATTTGTGAATTGTTGTATTCGATGCTTCTAGACATAAAATATATTCGTTTCTCGCCTTTAAGGCTTTTAACTTTGCATCGGTATATTTATTTTTCCGCTAAAAAAGATTACGTACGTAAGATATACCCCATTCTATCAAATATAATAAAATTTGGCAAAAACATTCACAATCAGTGATGAATATCTACCTTAACCACTTCTTTCTCTATTAATTTATACTTTTTTGATCTATCTAATTTATCTTGTGATAAAGTTTGCTCCAATTTTCCTCTTTGGGCTTCTGCTGCCCTTAATTTAACTTCTGCTTGTCGTAATTCTGCTTGATAACTGTGATACGTCTTCATTGTAGTATGGAGTTCGTGTAACACTCGCAATATTTCTTCGTGAGTTTCATATCCTATTTCACGGCACTGAAACATAAAAAATAGTATAAAAACTACACTCTCCCCAAAAAAATCCAAATTAACAATGGTTTACATACCCTTTTATATATTCTTTGTACATCTTCCATTACTTGAGTTAAGCGGTTAACCAAATGGGTAGAATAAACTTCTGATAGTACCGCATGATCTCTACTCAGATTTTTCGTCTGGGTCACCAATTGCTGCCAGCAAGCGTAACTCGAAAACAGTGGCCACTGTTCCCTTCTAAAAGAAAATTTACAATGATCATAATATACCCTCAATTATCCTTTGCTCAATTAAATTATCACGATCTAAGGCTTATCCTCTAATTTAGTCAGTTACTTTACTCACTTTTGTTTTTGTTCTTTATGCCGCAATTGAAGACTTTTGGCGAGCTTATCTAAATTTTTTGAGTAATCTAATTCTAGTTCTCCTCGACGGCGAAAAAAGTCTTGAAGTTCTGTTACTAGGGCTACCTGAGCTTCCATTCGTAAATCTAAACATCGTAATTGTTCGTTCAGCTGAAGCCTAATATCTAAAAACAAAAAAAAAAAACAAAATTTAATAAGTTAAGTTTCGAAAAAGGTTGTTAAAGATGTTTGGAGCACGGCGTTGTACGGGTGCGAAACATGGACAGTGGGCGCGGCGCAAAAGAAAAGGTTAGAAGCGTTCGAAATGTGGTGTTATAGGCGGATGATGAGGATAACGTGGGTAGAAAATGTTAGAAATGAAGAGGTATTGGAAAGAATAGGAGAACAGAGGACTCTATGGAAGTCAATAAAA